TCCTTCTGCTCCGGCTCCTTGCAGGAGGAGAGGTCCAACCCCCCCCGCCCCCGGGTACAGCTTCGTACCGGACGTTTCTTGCTCGGGAAGTTTGCTGCTCTCGCTGGTTTAGTAAAAGCCCAAAGTGACGGTTTTGGGTTTGTTTTTTTTTGTTAAAGCCGCTTGCTACAGCCCCTGGCATCTGGATGAAATGGTTTACAAATGTTTCTCCAATAAGAAAAAACCCAAACTGCTAGCATGCTGTGTGGTTTTAATCTAGAAAGTTAGGAACGCTTAATTTTGCTGTAAGGCACTGCTCTGCTGGCAGCCGTCTCTGCGAGAGGCAGCGGTTGATTTCCCATGTCCATCGGTCCCTGGTTTTTGGATGAAAAAAAGATGCAGGGAGGACTCGGAGGAAGGGTAGGCCCAGCAGCCTCTGGGGGACAGGTCAAAGGTGGTACCTAGTTGAAAAAAATAACGATAAAGGAAACAAAAACAAATGCAGAAGCGCAACCCAGAAGCTTTTCCGTGACAACGTGTCCTGGTTTGTGGGTGGGATAGAGTTACTGTTCACAAGACGCTGGGAGGAGACACAGCCAGGGCAGCTGACCCAAACGAGCCAAAGGGGTATGCTGTACCATGACGTCACGCTCAATACATAAGGCGAGGGGCTGGCCGAGGAGGAGGGGTCGCTGCTCGGGGACTGGCTGGGCATCGAGTTCCTGGCGGGGAGCAAACTACACTGTGTATCACCTGCTTTGTATATTCTAAGTATTGTTGTTATTTTCCTCTCCCTTTGCTGTCCCACTAAACCCACGAGTTTTGCCTTGGTCTTCCCATTCTCTTCCCCCTCCCACTTGGGGGACAGGTGAGCGAGCAGCTGTGTGATGCTCGGCAGCCGGCTGGGGCTGAACCACGACACGGTCAATGGCAAGAGTGAGCTCTGGTGGAAGAATTTGTAGTTTAAGCCTCCAAGTCCCAGGTCCTGTGCTGTTGCAGTGTTAGTAATATGCTGATACTGCACCAGATTCTTCCTCTTTTGCCCTAGCAAAATAGCTCGCTGCACACTCAGATCTGAAGAGCATGGAGAGGAAAGGCCATGTCTATCTCTGAATGGTACTAGCAGGGTATTAGGATGCTAGGGCTTTTGATTAAAATGGGGGGGCAGAAATACTGCTAGGTGGACCACGTGCGTCAAGACGGAGAATATTTTTTTACCAATAAGGTAAAATCTAGTCGTGCTTCCAGATTTGCATCCTCTTTGTTTTAAAGTCTCTGGACAGAAAAATGTCTGTGCAAGTTACTGGAGTCTTCCTATTTGGTGGAATCATGACTTTAGTCCAGTTAAACCCATTTTTAACTTGTATCTGGCAGGTAACTTTTCACTGCTTTTTTCTAAATGTGTTATTAAACTTAGCTGAGTAGTTATCACTGTATTTGTGGACTGTTTCAACCTTTGAGTTAGAAATATTGTACTCAAGTGATATAGATTACTGTATGACTGTTGGTGGAATCTGGAGTTAACTGGTGATGGCTCCCACATCCAGTACTGTGTAGCTCTCCTACCTTCATAGCTTTTAATCCAGTGTCTACAGAATCTGGTATCCTTAGAAGATAATTTCTTGGGACCAAAAATGGCACACTTCTGCCCTTTAGACCTTGCATTCTTGTTTATTTGCTACAAAGCAATGTGTCTAGCAGGTAGTGGAGGTCAGGGGTGAAATGTCTGCACAAGGGCCTGTACAGAAGGACTGGATCATGCAAAGCATGAGGTAAAAAAACTTTCACAAGGAGAGTTTCAGGAGTTAACTAGAGGCTGAAAGGATAAAGGGAACAGAGACTTGAGTCTCCTAGATTAACAGGTACTGTTATTGGTTGAGTGTGTCTAGTCTTAAGGCTGTGTCAAATCATGCTTTTGAAGAGCAAGACATAAGCTGTATTTTACTGGATTGAATTAATGCACAGGTTGACTGTTTCTCCTCTTATTATTGATTTGCAGTATCTTTCAGATAGATGAAAGAAAAAAGGCAGTCCTTTCCTCTCTGTAGTTCATACTAACTTCAGATGTTTCTCTTGGGTTTGTAAGTGGCACCAGCATCTTCGTTATTGTCCTTTAATCGCTTCTGTATCCAAAACTCAGAAGTTAATGAACTTTCTTGGATTTTTTTTTTTTTTTTAACTTCCCAGCAAAGATAAATTGTGTTGTTTGCAGCTTCATTATTTCTTTGTTTGGCCCTCTCAGACTCTTGCATCCTTCTTTATGTGCCACCCCTGGGACAAAAAGCTTTTACATTCACAAAATCAACGGTGTTGCAATTTCCTCAGTCATTGATGTATTCCTTTAAAATTTGCTTTCCCTCCAGCTGTTCAAGTCATGTGATTTGACTTGCCTCTTATTGGAGGGGAAGAAAGTGTAGGGTAGACAGACTTGGCTTAAGATTTGTGCTGCTAGCTTTCTTGGAAGTGGTCTGGCAACATTGATGTTTAAAATGGGGATAATAATGCTACTGTATTTCACAGAGTTATTATGCTGTTTGGTCCGTTCTCTAGCTAGTTACAGAGACCATTTAAATGTTCACAGAGACTTTTGCCAAACTGCTTTTTTCTCCATGGCTTTTCCCAAGTGGCATGTCATGTGAGGTTCTTCTTTAAATCAACTTGACTGAAGAAGTAAATGTTGATATTTCTGTGTATTTTCTTGCAGGTCTTGTAAGTACTCACACAACATCATCAATGCTGAGAACAAAAAAGTTCTAAAGACTTATGAGTTGTCTGGCCTTGATGAGAATGAGCTGCGAGTCCTGCTTCTCCAGAATGACCCTTTCCTCCTCCCTGATGTGAGTTGTACTGATTTCTTAAAAAAAGCTTTTGTTAATTAGGTATGGGAGAGGGCAAGAGAGAAGGTGGAGGTCTGATCTCAATTTCAAGCTGTTAAGATATGTAACAGAAATATTAAGATTAGTCTGAGTGAAGTAGGAATGGGAATGGTTATGTGTGAAAGCACCAGAAGAAACAATATAGAGCAAGGGTTGTGAAAGTGCCATGTACTTACGAACAAAGAAAAAAGTACCAGCAATAAAATTGTTAAACACCCAGGAGTGTGCTGCTTACATAACTACCAGAAGGCTTGTTCCTGGGTAAGGCCATGTCGTCTATGACTTGTCAGCACAAGACCTGCCCTCTGACAGCAGGAAGTGGACAGCAAGGCTGCAGCCTGTTTTGTGTGTCATTCCTGTTATCCCAACAAGATAGCCATAAAGTTACTCAAAACAAGCAAGCAATGTCAGCAACTTTGCCAGAGATTTACAAATGGTGAGGTAAGCAAGGCAGAGGTGATAGATCACATTAATTGTACGTGCTTACAAGATAACAGGCCTGACCAAAACTACTTTTTTAGCTGTTCTGAGAGATGATGGAGACTAGGAAGCGAGGACCCCTTTCCTTTTCCAGCCTACATATTGGTGCTTGAGGGTATGGGGGAGTGAGAAAAATCTATGAGAAAATGACCAAATGACTGTAGTCAGTTTTGTGTAAAATCTGCCCCTTCCAAAGTGCACTGAGATTTTGTACATCAATTTTCTACAAAGCAACCTTTGTCCAGTTTGTATGCAAGTCATTGATTTTGTGAAATTTGGCTGAACAATCCATTCTGCTTCTGCCTGTGTGTATAAGGGCAGTGCTATCTTCAAGGTATGGCTGTTTCAAAGCTAAAAATATCCTGTTCTGGCTGCAGCTATGCTTGGTTAAGAAATTACCAGAGTACTGCCTGTTACCCTTGTCTTTTGGAGGTTATAATCTCCACAAATCTGTTGGCATAACAGTTCTATTGTTTTCTTATTCCCTGCTGTGACAGTGCTGGGCTTTTACAAAATAGATTTTGGTTTTCAGGTGGTTCTTTTTTTTTTTGGTAGTGTTTTAAAATATGTTATGCTGGCAGATTCAAGGAACGTGGTGGTGATGAGAAAGGAGGATTAATATCATCTTTGTCCCGCTCAGCTGCATCTAAAACTTAAGTGTTTCTGTTTAATTAGTCCCAGTAATGAGCAGATAGTAGCAATCGTCATTGATTGGTCTCCTGGTTTCAGCTGGGGTAGAATAAATTCTCTTTCTAGTAGCCGGTACAGTGCTGTGGTTTGGATTTAGTATGAGAATAATGTTGATAACAGACTGATGTTTTTAGTTGTTGCTAGGCAGTTGTAGCATCTACACAAAGTCAAGGACTTTTCAGCTTCTCGCGCCCTGCCAGGTGCAGCAGAAGCTGGGAGAGCACAGGCAGGACAGCTGACCCAGACTGGCCAAAGGGATGTTCCCCACCATGTAGCATCAGGCTCCCTATAGAACTGGGGAAGTGAGCTGGGATGTGGAATTGCTGCTTGGAAACAGAGTGGACATCAGGGTTTTATTTTGCAGGTGGTGAGCAATTGCCTTTGTGCATCACTTGGTTTATGTTATTGTTACTAATACTATTCTCTTCCTTTGTTATCCTATTAAACTGTCTTTATCTCAACCCGTGAGGCTTTTTTTCCATTCTCCTCCCCATCCCGCTGTGGGGGAGCAAGGGTGAGCAAGCAGCTGCCTGGTGTTTAGTTACCAGCCGAGGTTAAACCACAACAGCTGTCACTGAACCATCCATAAACCAAGGATTTATAGACAATCTGTATTTTAAAATGCCAAATTATGAAACAAGTTTGTTCTATGTTGCCATTGGTATTACTCTTAAGCTCTTATCTATAGATTTATTTAGCGCTCACCACAGGCAGGTATCAGTAATTACCTCTAATTGAGCACTGTAACTTCTATCTGTAGCTAAATAGCGGATTCCCTATTTAGGTGAGGCAACATTTTATTCTGGTTTGGTAGTTTATTCTGATGCTCCTGTGTAAAAATTTCATCTGGCATACTAACATCATCTTTTAATGCATCTTCCCCTAGATGCCCTACAAAATTGCCCTCAGCTGGATTCAGTGTCTTTAAATCTCTGGGACCATTGCTTTGTGGCTGGTATCTCCACTACCCTAAAGTGATATTTTGTGTAATGGATGCTCTATACAAAATGTTTGAATTTTTAGTATTCTCTCAGCTTTTACCTGATTCCGTATTTTAGTTGCTTTTTTCCCCTACTCTTTTGACCAGGAAGATGCAAGCATGAAAGCACTTCCTGTGCTCTGGCCCCCAAACCCAGTGTCTGACATAAGACATGCCTTTTTTTTTTTTAGTAGGTCTTAAGCCAACTTCAGGCTGAGTGACAAACTGTGCTCTCTGCTTCTGGTTTTGCTTAGTGGTATTCCTGGAGGAGAAAATTTCTGGAAAGGAGAGGATACTGAAGTTAAGGGGGAAAGACTGGGTTGAGGAAAGACCTATTAAGCAAGCAGTGATTTTAAGTTTTTCTAGGAACATCCAGAGAGCTATATTACCTCTTTGAACCCGGGGGTTACTGTATACGTTTATATTACAGCACTTAGTTTGTGCTTGATTATCTGTTTCTGGTGAGCATTGGATTAACTGTTTCCAGGTCAGTAACTTGAACAGTTATCTCTGCTTGGAGGGGTGGAAAAACAAACTGCATACTTAAAGCCTTAACTTATTTTTCTCGTTAGGTAGGCAGTCAGATGAGGCATGTACGTTTTAGATGAAGGTAACACTGAGTGGTATCAGGCTCCCAAAATAGAGCAACATTCTTCAGCTGAGGAAGACCTTACCTTGAAAATGGTGTAAGATTTGAGTTCTTTAGTGATTGAAGTTGCAAAGCATCTCCCACAAGACTGTTTGTTATTACCTAGCACTTGCATATGTTCTTGATACATAGATCTTAGAATGCTCTGTAGATGATAAACCTATCTGCATTCCCCTCTGACAAAGTTAGGAAAATGAAGGAGAGAAAAATGAAGTGATTTACCCAAAATTCTGGAGTAGGTGAATAATTGCTTTGCATTGGCAGGTGCTGGTACTTTTGGATCTCATTAAGAAAGGCACATGATGCTTAAAATAAATAGCTGGTTACTACTAAAGGTTATAATGAGAAGAAATCTTCTGTGTCCCTTCTGATGTTGTGGGAACCAACAACAATGCAGCATCAGACAGACCTCTCTGGTAGGGTCATGGCTTGCTGTGCAGAATTCCCATCCATGGTGAGGTCCAGCACCCTTGCTGTTCTTCACATCTTTATAGTATTTTTCAGGGCAGGGGAAATAATCCAAAGCTATTGGTCTTCTCTCCATATAAAACTGAATGTTCTAGATGGTACGCTGAGGTTCGCTGAGAACATTATGCTCTTATGCATCTCTATTAGGAACAAGCTCTTACAAACAGTACCTACAGGTTGCGTTGTTAAAGGCAGTCCATGCTAATGGCATGGTATGTGCTCTTATTACGTGGCTGTCACTAATGATCACGTACGGACCTTTGCAACCAAGGCCTGCAGGTAAACTGCCTAGACTTGCTAGAAGTCTCTATCTCCTCAGTATAATGTCTTTGACAGTGGCCTGCTACTTTAGCTGAAAACAGGTCCTAAATTCATTTTCCAAAATATATTTTCCCAGTATGAGAGAGTGATGGAGCTACTGGAAGAGGAGTTCAGTGAAGCACCACTAAGATGATGAAGGGACTGGAGCATCTCTCACATGAAGGCAGGCTGAGAGAGCTGGGTCTGTATAGCCTGGAGAAGTGAAGGCTCAGGGGAATCTCATCAACGTTTACAAACACCTGAAGGGAAGGGTATAAAGAGGACAGAGCCAGGCTCTCCTCAGTGGTGACCAGGACCAGAGGTGATGGGCACAAACTGAAACACAAGAGGTTTTCTCTGAACATCAGGAAATGCTTTTTTTACTGTGAGAGTGACTGAGCACTGGCACAGGTTGCCAAGAGGGGTTGTGGAGTCTTCCCCCTTGGAGGTATTCAAAAGAGATCCTCAAAAGCTGTCTGTACACAGCTAACCGGCTGTAGGTGGCCCTGCGGGGAAATCTCTGCTCGGGCACCTGGAGCACCTGTTACCCTTCATCCTTACCTTGGGGTCTGCAGGACTTTCTCACACTTTCCCCTCCACCCCCCTCACTACCGTGCAGTGTTTTGCACTTTCCTAAATATGTTTTCCCAGAGGTGCCACCAGCTTGGCTGATGGTCTCGGCTGTGGCCAGCATGGGGCAGCCCCTGGCCTCATCTCACAGAGGCCACCCCTGCTGCCAGCACCTTGCCATGGGCACCCAACAGATTGTAACACCACTGAAAGCATTTTGTGGTGCAGCTAGGCTTAAATATATAAATAATAGCCATAATTGCAAGGGGGTTAAATGGAAAGTTGTGATAGAGTTGCACTAACAGGGTGCAGGAAAACTTGTAGAAGTAAAGCCTGCGTGATATCTGGTAAAACTAAAACCCTGCAGAGCAGGCAGGAAGGATATTTGATGGAAGCAGAATAATCCAGTAGAACAGGCAAAACCAGAACAAGTCCAGATCCCAAAAATAAGATGTCAAAAGCAAATAAGAGCATTCTTTGGAGTATTAGGGTAGAAAAGTATAAAGCATCCACAGTGACAGAGGGAGGATGGGGAAGAAAGAAGACAACCCCCTTTGGTTTCTGTTTCCCTTGGAGGCTAAGAGCCATCAAGGACAGTAACCATCAGTGCTCACTGAAATTGCATCAGGTCTGTGGGTTTCTATGCTCCCACCTAATTTAGAGCAACTTTGTGAAGGCTAATTGTTCTGTACATGATACTGACTGATGGCAATGAGAAGCTTCCCTTTGGCAATGGGTATTGTCAATGAGTATGAATCCAGTAAAGAGTTGTTTTGCAGTTGAAACTCACCTGATTTTTCAGTCTTTTAAATGCTGCCATCCCAATATCAAACTCCCTAGTTGATATATAAATCTTGATCTATTCAGTTGCAGCACAGCATAGAAACTGTCTCTGTTGCTTAGAACAAGGGTTGGGAGGAGATCTGTGACAGTTCTGGCATGATCTTGGGGCTGCCTACCAGAGAGCTGTGCGTCTTCCTCAAAGCAGCTTTCTTGTTATGGGCTGCTTGTCTGTGCTGCAGGAGCCAAAGTATTGCTGTGGTGCTTGGTGGGCAATACAAAGGAGTTTTTGATGTGTGATATGTTCCCTGGGTCAGTTCACTGCATATCTCTTTTTTTGGTGAGCAGAGGAATAAAGAAGTACGTTGCTTTTTCCATATGTACTTTAATCTCAAAGCTTTCTTCTTACCACTTTTAGACGCCCAAATCTTCAATGCAGAATAAGATTTACAAATAGGAAGTGCAAATGCAGTTTCAGCTCTGTGAAATAATACCTCATTTGACACTGTATACATATACTTATGGAGACATTTGTTCTTTGTTATGGTTTTGGTTTGGGGTTTTTTGTTTTAATAGAATAACTGTAAAACAATCAATTGTTATGCAACTGTCTTGCTAAGGAGTGCCAAAAATGAATGCTTATTGGATTGGCTTTTCTTTTTCTTGGGGGAAAAAAACACCTCTGCACAAGTTCAAAACTGAAAATGCGTGAGTCAGCTGAAAATGCCTGCTCTTCCATGCAAGAAATCTGTTGAGATTAGAGAAGTCACAATGAACATGAGTCTCTTAGTCACCGTTTTTCTGCTGCTAAAGCTGCATGTCTATAGAACAGAGAAGAAAAATTACTGATTCTAATATGCTTTTACATTTCATATTGTATCTATCTTCCCCATGTCTAGATCTGTCATTTTTACAACAGAAAGGATAGTATCTGCAACCAGCAAAACAACTGCAACAAGCTTCATATTTGTCGATACTTTCTCCAAGGGGAATGTAGATTTTTGTCATGTAAGAGGTCCCATCACCTCTTGGATACCCATACATTGACATTGTTGGAAACTGGAGGCATTAATATGAACATAGCTTCAAACATCCAGACTATATGCAATCACAGGCATGTGGAATTCAACAAGGAACTGAAGAAGGGGAAAAGTAAGTTGTAAGAAACACTAGGTTTAAATAGGATTCTGAGTTTGATAGAGGTAGAAGCCGTTCTTGCCTTACCTCACAGCTAAACCCCATCGTCCTTTCTGTGCTTTCAGCGCACAACTACAAACCAAGAGAAAATTTATTGAAAAATATGGCAGTTACAAGGAGTGAAGAACTGAGGATACCTCTGCAAACAGTGGGCTCCACGCTGAATGTGCCACTTTCAGAAGGTAAATATCTAGATAAGCGCTAACTGCTTCCATGTAGAATCAGCTTTGCTATCTCCCCTCTTATAACATGTACGTATTTTTTTTCTCTTCTGCCATTGATCTGCTTTCAGGAATAGAGTACATCATGGCCAAGTCATGTGGGAGGGAGAGCTGCATTACTATTGCCTAAAATACTGCATGTAAAATTGCTATTGAGTAGTTGCCGATAACTGTGACTAGCTAGGATTTGTAACTGTTACTGCTGATCTGTTGTATCGGTAGTGGAGTGCCGGTGGAAAATTATGTGTGTGATGGACATAATCCTCAACACACAAATTGGGATGTTGCCAGCTATCTGGGGTTCTGGTCCAGCAGTGCTGTTCATTCAGTCTTCTCATGCAGTCCCAGTAGAGATGTACTTGCTCAGAGCCAAGACCAGTTGCCAACAGGAGCTGGAGGTAAAGATGAAGGTATGGATTGTTTCTAATCCTCCAGTCTTGAGGTCAGTGGTTCTCATTGGGATTTGGTTTCACGCAGCCCTACAGCTTCCTATGGTAGTCAGAGTGCTTATGTGCTTATCCTACCATATACTGAGAGCCATAGTACTGGATGGCCTGCAGAGGAGTGTTGAGATTTCTGCCCAAGCATTGTGCAGCATAAGGGGGAGTAGTCTGGGATTGATCTCTGTACTGTTCTGGACAAATTGCTTCCTTCTTGGGAAGGAGACAGAGTCGTATCTGTGCATGTGATATCTTTCCTTGCCTTCTGTCCCCACTTTGTCAGTAGCATGGTTGTCTTGATATACCTTCCAGGGAGTGAACAGGAACTCCTAAATCTCCCATCCTCCTGGGCAGAAGGGCCTTGGCTTTAGAGCCTGTCAGAGTCCAGTACTCTCTGAACAGGTTCTTTTAGATATTCTGTGCATGGAGGGTGTAATGTTTAATATCAAATTTACTTATTTGAAGATAGTTGATGTTACATGGGTGTTGTGGGTTAACCTCGGTGGGCAGCTAGGCACCACACGGCCACTCACTTCCTCCTGACCCCCAGTGGGACAGGGAAAAAGAAAAGAAAGAATAAAAGCAAGAGAACTTGAAGGTCAAGATGGGGGGTGGGGGTGGGGGGGAAGTGAAAGGTACATGGAAGAAAAAAGAAGAAAACAAAGCAAAACAACTGATGCAAAGTTACTCGCTCAGCACCACCTCCCATGGATAGGCTGATGCCCAGCCAGTTTCTAAGCAAAAGATAGCTAACCCTCCTAAAACTTCCTCTTTTTGCTTTTATTGCTGAGTGTAATGTTATATGGTATGCAATATTTCTTTGGTTAGTTTGGGCCCTCTGCCTGGTTGTGAACCCTCCCAACCTGTTGTGCACCCCTCAGTCTGTTTGCTGGGGGAGCAGGGTGAGACACAGAGAAGGCCTTGATGCTGTGCAAACACTGTTCAGCAAAAGCCAGAGCATCAGTGTCTTATCAGCATTGTTTTGGTCAAAAATCTAAACCACAGCATCATATGAGCTGCTATGAAGAAAATTAAATTTATCCTAGCGAGGCCCAGTACAATGAGATTTCTGATGTAGCAGACTGATGCAAAATACACTGAAAACAAAATACAAACGTTGTTACACCAACCAAAATACAGCAATTGCAATACGCAATTCAATGGGATGCCCATTGTCAGTCTGTATAATACACTCACCGTCTCAATGCTGGATATCCCCAGTCTGTGGGAAGGAATACATGGGCTGAAGCCAGCTCAAGCCTGTTGCTCTCTTCAAAATTCTTTTGTTGCTTAGTTTTTATATTCCTGTGTTGGGCTGAGCCCTGTATTTACTCCCCACCCCACGCTGGTCTGTCTAACTTGAGGAGAAACATTTATACCACCACATAGCCATTTATGTAGAACAGAGGCCGCCCTCTGATCCCTTTTGTATTGAGACAAAGTCAGCTTCTTTGCAATAGCTGTGGTCAGTCACACCCTGTGTTATTCTCTGAGCTTCATGGCATCACGCTTGGCCATCTCCACTGAGCCTTCTTCCATTGAAGGCGTTTATTGGTCAGTCACAAAGCCCTAACTCATGCAGAGGGCTGTACAGCAGATAGTCAGAACCTGAAAGTGCTTGACTTGGCTACTGCAGTAAACTCCTTGTTATTTCTGGGATGAAATACCAAATGCAATGTCTTTCTCTGAGTTGTATTTTGGTAGGGCAAATAAGGACTGATGTCTTTTTTCCTGTAGATAAAAAAGATGATTCCTCTGCTAAAGCTTCAAATGATGACAAAGAAGAGAAGTGTGATGAGATATGTGTGTTCTATGTCTTGAATTCCTGCAAACATAAAGGTAAGCTTTATAAAACTGGATGTTTTCTTCCAAGAGCAATGTCTGCAGAGGCACTCCCTGCTCAATGGCTCAGACTAGTGGAGGCATACGGAGTGGCAGTGGCGATTGTGCCTTCTCACTCATTCGCTTTGCTTTCAGGCCATCAATAAACGCTGTCAGAATTGCAAACGTAATCAGAGGAAAGTCAAGTGGATGCCCTTAAACCCTTTCTCTTCTAGATGATCCATCTGTGGCCTATTTCAGCCTTGTTGTGCACCCCAGGGTGGTGCAGGCTTTGAGTATGTTTCTGTGGCAAAAACCAAGTGTTAAATGTTACACTTTGTATAACTATTAGATCGATTTAAGAGCTGGCCTTATGTTGTCATTATTGACAATTGGTAACAATATGTCACCCTTTATTCCT